CTTTCCAACCACTATTATTTCCATGATACTGTGAATATGAAATCCAGCCTGACTAGTGGACATGTTAATAATATTATTTCAACATAGTTTTTCAGGCATATAAAAAATCAGGTGGCATGTTGAGGTTTTTTTTCTTGAAACAAGACCACAGCATACATCCCAGGGGTCCATCCAGGAGCTGAAGAGAGAGATGGAGACCCTTACCTTAGGCAGGGATTGAAAGCCCAGGCTGAGCTGAAATGGGGCTCTGTGCCTATGGGCAGCAGGGTAGTGGGGTCCCTGGTGGGACTAGTCAGGGCTATTCAGGCCCTAGAAGCCTAGTTCTTGGGGTGACTGCCACATAACATTGCTGTGTGCACAGAAACTGCATCTGAACCACAAACGTATTGGAGACTGGAAAGTATTCATGAGTGGCATCCCTTTTGCCAGCTTCTTACAGTTTTTTGCAGGCATCTGCAATTGACTGCCTTGGAGTTAGGACACTGGGCTGTATGGATGTTTGCTCTGACCAGCAGAGCTGTCTTTATAGTTGGTAGAATTAATCAAAGCTCCCTGTATAGGAGGAGTCAGCTTTCATCCCCAGGGATCTCCTAGGTCCTAGGAAGATCATCTCAGTCTTTGAGGGACCATAAGAGCAAGGGGCCAAAGCAGGGCTGAAGAGAACCAAAGACAGACAAAGAGAAGGAACTGGGGCATGACGAGAGTAGAAGCCTCCAGAAGTGAGGAACACTGTAACAAAACTGGCCAAGAAAGTTCTAGGAGAACATTAGCAAGGAGCTAAAGAGGTTGGTGTATGGTAGGAAACTGAGGCAAACCAAAGGGAAAAGCTTTGAGCAGCCTTCCTACTTCAAAGGCAGGCTTAGGTGTAATGGAAAAGATTCTGCTTTTCGAGTGATTCAGCAAGTCCCTTCTGTTCTCTCTTCTTCTTCCCCTCAATCACCATGCTGCTGGCCCGAGGAGGAGGTTTATTCAACATCCACATTCTGGTAAAACATTTGGTTTGTTTTTGAGCAGGTTGTGTATTTAATGTTTGGTAGCTAACCAAGAATTGATCTTTTACAGTAAGCCAACACTGGATGCACACGTAATACCAATGAGGTTTTAAACTGCTTGCCCTCATGTATAATAGTGGCAGCTTCAATGGACTACTCATGCTAGAGACAAGGGAACTGATCATTAATAATATAGAAGTTTAAATATTTATATATGCTTCTATTCCTTCACTTAGCCACATCATAGTGTGTCTATATATACAGCAAGAAATATAGTCTAAGAATACATGTTGACATGTTTTCAGGGACATTTATTGAGGACATATCTGTCATCCTTCTGTAAAGCAAAATACATACGTGCCTAACCCACACAATTCTACATCCATATTAATCCAATGTTAATTAATTTTCATTATATCATCTCAACTTTGCTGCACTGTTCTGCACATTTAGCTGGCTGATAGATACACACACACCTTGTTATGCTGCTAGTCATAAACCAGATATAAGTACTTTACTTTGTGCGAACTGGTATGTCCCACACTACGGAATTTATTGGAAGGTGATGCTGCAACAATGTCATGTTGCTGTGAGTACAAGGTGCCACCCTGTGAAATACATGTGAGATTAATTATAGAAGCTAAAGAATAAGATGCTTTCATCTCTGTCTTGGAAGCCTTTAGAATCGACTTGCCATCTCACATTAACTGAATAGGGTTTTCAGAAAGAAGAATCTGATTTTATTTGCATGCATATCTCAATACAAAGTACAGACTAACTTTGAAGTTCTTCTTCAAAGCATCTTCAAAGGTGGGCCTCTAGTTTGTAAGGAGATATACATGTAAATAAAATCAGATTGAATTAACTTTTAAATCTGCTTCTTTAATAATATTGTTACTATTAAAACACTGTTACCCTTGGAGCAACAAGTATATATAATATCCTACCACTGTCATGCTTGATGGTGTTATCAGAAAAAAGCCTTTCAAAGGAAAAAAAAACCCAAACATTTTCTGAACTGTGAATCATTACCACAATACAAAATTATGCAAAAGCTGACTAAATGGAGATAATCCAAGACACACTTTTTTTTTTTTTTTTTTTTCCAGGCAACAGTGTTATCTACAATAGGATTTGTAGTATCAAATCAAGATCACGCTACCTTTGATTCTTTGCTCTTAACTTACTATTATCTTTTATAAGAAATTAATTATTCACTACAAAATTACTTTCACTATGAAAACATACAATAAAGTCTGATGCTTTCACAATTATCTGCCCTTGTAGGCACTGCTAAATCAGATATAGAAGTAATAGAGACATTTTCATAATAATTCTAATGTCATGTAGTGTACAATGATAAGAAATGTACTTGGAGCAAAACATTACCTGCATGCTACAATTGATTGTACGACTCTTCTGGGGTGTCCCAGGGAAATCACACAACTGCTTGTATGAGTAACTAAGTCAGTTACTCATAACTCTCATACTGAGAGACCAAACTGAAGCAGGGTTGGCTGTGGAATCCAACTGCTTTCTGAATATAAAAGTAATTTTGTTTTAGAAATTGTTATTTTAATGATGGAAAGATTTTCCCTTTATTTAAAAACAGCCCATAAGACATTCTATTTCAACTGCTTTGGTAGAAACGAAGGATACTTAGTCACCTTCTGTCCTAACTGTCAAACCTCTCTGCTTTATTCTGCATGCACAGAACACCATTTATCACAGGGGAAAAAACAAACCACACCTCTATATACAGACTGCAAGGTGGGTACATTTACTTGCTTCTATAGCGTGTGAGAACTGAGCTGAATGAATGTGAACGTTTCTGAACTTACTCTGCAGAAACAGCATTTATCTCATAAAAATCTCCCAAATATCTACCCAAATCTGTCTGTAAATCTTACCTTTCCAGGTTTTGTAGCCCCCCCCCATATATATATATATATATATATATACACACACACACTCACACACATATATGTATGTATGTATGTGCGTGAATAAGGATTCTACTTGGGCAGCCCTATGGCTGAGAATATGTGACTGGCTTACAGCCTGTGTGAATTTTGCTAGCTCTTGTTTCCCCAGAATGCATGCCAAAGTAGGTATCAGAAGCCTTTTGTATTTAAATAATCAAAAACATGTTAAACAACTGATTCTGATTCTCTACCTGTCCCTTAAGTCTTGCAACACCAACTTTTTGTTTTAAGTATCTCCAGTGTTACAGTTTTCTTTCCTCTCACTGGCGTGTTTTTGCTGTGAGACTTGTAGCTAACACGTAAATGCCCCTAGATTGTTTATTCCCCTAAGTGAACTGTCAGTTTATTACTGGTACAGATCTCTTGCAACAACACTGTTCTCAATGTATCAGAACTGATCCAGCTCCTCTGTCCTCCTACAAGGAATTACTTCAACACAGAGTGACCTTTAGTGGACGTTCGGTCACTGTCCTTCACCTGGGAGTCATGCAAATGCAATCTCCCTTTGACAGCTCCCCTTTTTGTACACTAAGTGGCCACCAAGTCTCACAACTGCAATGTTCCACGGAAATCTTGATGAGGCACTGTTACAGCTAACAGCCCCTTGGGTCTAAATCAAGATCCATGAGAAGGTTCAGAATCAGGTACAACTGGAGAATCAGTTTTTTTGGTATCATACAAGGTCTAGACAGAGGTAGGGGTGCATGCTAGCTGCACACCTGTTAGGACAATGTGATAAGACAAACCCTTGCAAACACCAGTAAAGCTTTTGGCTGATGTTTTTGCTCTGGGTGATGTGGATTATACTACCCTTCACAGCTGGTGTGTAAATAACACACCACCTTCTGAGAGTTTCAGTCAGAAAACATACAGTTACGAACATGTTTTTCAGGTAAAAACTAAGATCTCATTGCAAGTAGAAGCAATTCAAGCTGACAGACAAATTGTACAGATAAGTTCAAAGTTCATCTCTCTAGACAACAAACTACTGTCACATGGGGGAAAATCGCCTTGAGCTACCAGCCATAGATAGGAAAGATGTGCCAAGCATTCAAGTCCACAAAGCCATCAGTGACAGGGAGCACTGAAGAGACAAGTGATGACTAGAAATGCAATTGCTTGAGTTCCTCTACAATAGCGACTGGGAACGTGGGCCGAACTTATTAATTACTAAGTTTAGGTAGATACACCCTGCTAATATTGCCTCCCTTGAAAATTAAGTTCCTGCAAGGCTGGAATCAAGGCTGAAAAAGACAGCTGCATCAAACTAAACGTAGCAGCAGGGTCCTCCTCATTTAATTTGGATCGATAACTCTCCCGGAAGATCTGTCACGGGGATGAAGCTGTATGACACAAAAGTGGGTCCCCCCTGTCTGCCGGACCTGTCACCTACCCGTACTACTTCTGAATAGCGAGCCCAACGCCCGGGAAGGGAAAGGTGAAGACCTGCCGAGGCTTAAAGATCTCCACAGGGCGACATGATGCTGCCACCTGGAGTACACGGACTGTCATTGGCGGGAAGCTGTCTCGCACCAAAGTCAAGCTTCAAACCTGCAAACCCCCAGAAGCTCACGTCCGAGCTTCTGCAGCTCTATAGGTGACGGAGACAGAGCTCCAGAAGTCCCCTTACTGCCGAGGAGGCGACAACCCCTCTCTAACCACGCTGCTCTCCACATTTTAGAGCTAGGGATCCGTTATTTCACCGGCATTTCTAGCAGGGTCAGCAACGCCTCTGTGTGACACACATGCGCGAAGTGGACGGCCCTCACGGCAGCAGGCGGCGGCGGCGCGGCCCGCAGCGGAGGCTCCCGCTCCTGTGGAAACACCGCGGCCAACGACAGCTGCCCGCCTTGCAAGCTCAGTGGAA